TATTTGGAAATCTCAACATTTTTAAGAAATTGGCCAAAAATTGTTGAAGTTGCTGTTTTGGAAATTTAGGTGAGAAATTAAATCCTCATGTTTGACTAATGTGGAAACTAAAACCACAATATAAACAAGAAGGGTTAAGGAAACCACCTAAAGCTCTTTCTTTAGGAAGTTCCTTCTCATTTCAGCATGTATGTAAACTTATCATGTAAGATAAGAACAATAATGTTTTTCCTCAGAAAATTACCCACAGGCACATCTGTAAAATTCAGTATGATTTGTAAAATTCTGGGAGTTCCTTTATCTTTGAAAACTTGTATCCATGGTATCTTTCTAGGTATTCATGGTCCTTGGTGTATAAATTCCTGGCAGTAAATGATAGATATACGACTGAGTCTTTTTGCACCAGACATCTAAGCAACAGAAGTACTTAACATGCTATGAAGGCCATTTAGAAGCTTAAATCTCAGGGCCCACTAAATATTTGAATTCATTTTCAATGAGATGTAGTCAAAAAGCATTTAGCAAGGCATTTTTTTCCACCTCTGTTTTCTCTCTTGAAAACTCCCCTCATTCTCTAGTCTGCATTTTTCCACTCAGGAGAAGCCCTTGTTGTCTGTAGATCACATGTTCATCCCTCTCTTTCTCTCCTCTTGCATCATTCAAAATTTTTTTCAAAATATTATTTTGTTTTACAGAAGAAAGCATTTACATATTCACTTACTATTTTCCTTTATAACTCTGAAAGTTTAAATTACCTTCATTGGGTGGAAAATTGCTATGTTATTTTTAAAAGCAAAATAATTGAAAAATACATTACTGAGCTGAAACTGAGTAGTTTTCAGTGCTTTTATTTAATAATTTTAATTTTTCTCAGATATAGTTTTGTGCTTTTAAAAGAATATAATGATGGACTATGTCATTTTGAGACCCTCGATATGTTCTAAAATTCCATAACTTGCATTGATTTCTCTAAATATAAATAAAACAAGACAAGTAAATAATTTCAAAAATGAGAATAGTCGCAACCATTACCACAGTTCCATATTTTCAGGAAGTGATTCAAAGCTAGATGTGGTTGAATTGTTAAATGAATGAATTTGCAAAAGTGGGCGATAATTAAGTTGTTATGTTCAGCCCTTATTAATTATTAATGACTTCTCCAGGACTTTGAATCAGAAGAGCTTTCTACAACAGAAGTTCTGTTGGGGTTGTCGGGATGATGAATCATCTCACCACTGAGGTGGTCTTCCCCAGCTCCAAGGTACTCATAGGCACAACCAGGAAATTTAACTATGGCGCCTGTGTTGTACTTGGCTTTTAACTTAGAGAAAAAAAAATTAAAAAAGATTTAAACATTGATATCATCACTCTTTAGCCTGCACAACCCTAAGTTTCTTCTCTGAAGTAAAGAGCTTGATGTTTAAAAAAATAATACTAATGCATTCAGCCAAAGCTCCAATCATCTGAATGCACTCACAATTTGTGTGGCTTTAATTCTGGCCGCACACATGCCAGACCAAGAATCAGAAATGCATCTGGGCAGCAGAAGCCAGTCAGTGTCGTCTCCTCTATTCCCTTTTGTTTTCTGTTTTTGTAACATGTGTTTGGCACCAAAGAGACAAACAAGGATAAAATGGTTTTCTCCTTTTCCATCTGGTTCTCTGCCAGAGATACAAAGAGTGACCAAAGCATCAGATTTCAATGTTCTGACTGCTGAGAAACCCAAGTTTCTCATTCTCTATCCATCACCCTTCTTTTCAACAAATATTTTTCCACTAGTGAAAAACAAACAACGTAAGCCATATAAGGTAAAGGATTATTTCTACTTATTACCATACCAACTCATCATCATTAAGACTCTATTTGTAGGTTTATACTTTTTATGTTTCATCTCATAGGAAAGTATAAAAGTATTTTGAATTCCTCAAAATGTTTTAAAAAAGAAAAATTCTTCATGTGTGAATATGTTCTGGTCCAAAAAAAAGTATCTTTGGAGCTCATAATACATTTTTTGAGTGTTAAGGAAAGATTGGGATAGAATTCTGTGTTACGCTAGAGTAGGAGAGAAGGTGAGAGAGGGAGACGGACATGGAGGGAGAGAGACAGAGAGAAAAGAGAGAGAGACAGAAGAAAGAGAAAGAAAAATCGTAAATTGATACAACTATGTATAGTCTTACTTCATTTGTGTACAAATGTTTCTGCCCTTTCCACAACAATGAAAACAATACTGAAAAAACCATACAGTGAAAACTCCATAAGGATTACTTAAAATTTCATCAAGTTTGCTTAACCCTGCTATGGCTTTTTTCAATAGGGTACAGGATCCCACAAGCTGAGGGTGAGGTTATTTCAGTCATTTACTTTGTAGAGCAATAATAAATTGGGTGCTTTAATATCAGAAATTGCCAAAAACTAATTAAACCCTAACAAATGAAGTGCAGCAATCTAGAAGCATGGCTGGGAATTAGGAAGCTATTAAATTTTTCAGCTTTTAAATAGGGTTATGTATTTTTGAGTAGCACTTTCTTTTATTTAAAATCTCACCTAAAGTGTTTCAAATATTACAAACAGACTAATAGAAAAAAAAGACCTGTGTTTTTATCACTTTGATTCGAAACTCATTTGGGTTTTGGGCTGGGAAGAGGACTCAAAAGCTGGAGTCAGTGCTTTGCTTTTGAAGTGTCCCCATAGGGCATTTCACCAGGAGTAGTCCCCTAGTACTGCATGTGTGTCCCACCCATCCTCAAATTATAATTTTGATTCATGTATTATGAATCAAATTATTTCGTCTTTACTTATTGTCAAATATTTAGTAGAAAACAAATTCTCATGCCGTCTATTCTTACACGACTCTAAAATTGTTTTGCTTTGCTTTGGGGCCGTTCCCAATGATGCTCAGGGCTAAACCTGACGCTCCATGGAGAGATCACTGCGGGAAGGACTAAGGGAACCGTATGTACCATACATGGTGCTGGGACTTGAACATAGGTTGGCCACATGCAAGGCAACCACTTTTTACCCACCTATTGTCTCTCTGGCACAATAATTGCATTTTTATTTTATTTTTTATGCAATAGTATTCTTAACATCAGCGTTAGTTTTAAAAAATCATCTAATGTTTTCTTTATTCTTCATAGCTTACAAAATAACTTTTGTGTTTGGCTTGTTCACAGCATTGTCAAATGATATTGTTAGTAGTTATTATTTATCCTAAATAGTTGTTCATTTAAAGAAGCCCCATTACTCTATTATTTTTCTGTATCACTTGTTGCCAAGTCAATGTCAGTGTCATGATTATCAGTGACTGCTTTTCCCCCATAATCAATATTTAACATATTTTACTCCTAATCCATACTTTTTGTAGAAGCCAGATGGTTGTTATTTCTTTTTAATTTCCCCTTTATTTGATGCCATAATTTACAATACTATTAGTATTAATGTTTGAGGAGTATAGTGCATTGTTTATTTTCTTGTTTTGTCTATACTCCACATATGAACAAGATCATTGTCCTTGCCCATTCTACTCACTTCTCTCAGCATAATTCCCTCCCATACCATCAAGCAAAATGCAATAGATATGAGTAGTTTTCCATTATATATGTAACACAGTACCTTTATCCACCTAGTATTATATTCTTAAAGTATCTTTTTGTCATGGGTAATATATAATAAGTGTATTTGCAAAATGTTCATAGAAAAATAAAGAATTCTAATTTCTTCAACTGTCAAAAAGAAGAGATAAAATTATAATTGATACTTTAAAGGTTGTGTGTGAAATTGCCCAATATCATGCCAGGTGTCTTACAAAAGGTTTACTATTCTCTTTTTGTGGATTTTTTATATAACAACTCTGGTTATCTTTCTGGTTACTTATACTTTTTTAATTTTTCAGACATAGGGAATTCTTACTGAGAAATGTTGAAAGAGAGCATTAGAGTTCATACACTAGATTTTGAAGTATGTTGAATTGCAAAAGTAAAACATCTTTACACATTTGACTTTGAGTTGCACCTCTAGGTTGATTGACAATGTGTATTAGTCAGGTAAGGTAAACGTAAAGGCCCTCCCGTTGATCGTCGATTTGCTCGAGCGGGCCCAGTAACGTCTCCATTGGAGACTTTGTTGTTACTGTGTCTGGCATATCGAATACTCTCGGTAGCTTGCCGGGCTCTCCGAGAGGGGCGGAGGAATCGAACTCCGGTTGGCCATGTTGACTGCTTGTAAGGCGAACGCCCTACCCGCTGTGCTATCGCTCCAGCCCAAGAGTCCAGTTAAAATTCTATTAGCTTCCTGGGCTGGAGATATGGTATAGTAGTTAAGGTGCTTGAGGTACTTGTCTTGCACATGGCTGACACATGTTCTATCTCCAACACATGTGACTCCCCAACCCCCACATGAGGATCATAATTACGAATGCAGAGCCAGAGATAACCCCTGAGCATTACAGGTGTGACTCCCCTCCCCAAAATATTCTATTGGCATGATCCTGATGTAATTGATAACTTAAATGATAAATTATTGCTGTATGATTGATAACATATCAAAACCATTTTTAGAAAACAAAATGATAGTTTGCTCCCTACTATACTATATAAGATACCATGAAATCTGAGAGAAATGTCTTTGCAATTATATCGCGCTAGCACTATAATATTTGTAATCTTCATAAATCCACTATCAAGATAGTGTTACTGTTTCTACTTTTAAATGGCAAAATTGAGCTATACAAAATTTTAAATATTAAATTAATATTAAGCTGTAATAATTGAGGATTTGGGAATAGTACCGCATTGGTCTCATTCTGTTCTCACAGTTGAACTATCCCTCATAATAGTCGTGAGATTTTTGTATTTTTTTGAGCACAGGTAAACTTCTTCCAACATTTTGAATGCAAATCATGCAAATTACAGGATCTTAATATGAGCAATGCATGTAAGGTTTTAAAATGAGTATATGTTAGTGTATGAAAATTAACTGTGTATTTCTTTTGCTTTCAATAGGTTATTGATAATCTTGGTCCTTTGGAACTGATTCTTAATACTCCTAGCCATCATAGGGTTCATCATGGTAAGCTCATTTTCCTCTTCATTTATTTAAAATTATTGTCGTTATTATTCGGTGTCATATTATTATAATTATTCAGCTAACACAGCATAAAAATAGATATTTATTCTACTGTACTTACAGAAACCTCTCCAAAGCAAGGACTAGGGGGAAAACAATAGGTTCTTGGATTTTCCTTTTGTCTATTGTCTCTTCAGCTGTAGTAGAAAAAAACAAATTAAGTAGCTAATGGTTGATATACTTTATATGTTTGAGAAGTCTGTGAAGATCACTACTGACTAAGTACTAAGTATCATAACTATCTACAGGTAGAGATATTCTTATCTTGAGAACTGTTGAATTTCAGGGCAGCCTAATACACAACACTTTAATTTCTAAAGCCTGTGAACATACTCAACATATGTTACATTTGCCTGACAAGGAGAGAATTTCTTGGAAGATTTTATTGCCTAAAAGTTAAAGACACTACTTAAGATATGGTAAAAATGTTTATTTTTTGAACCAGAGATGTTCATGAGAGCATGAATAGCAAAACTGTGATAGAAATCACTATCACTATCACCTGTTGTTCATTGATTTGCTTGAGTGGGCACCAGTAATGTCTCCATTCATCCCTGTCACGTGCTAGTGTAGCGCGATGGCATATTGGGGTCTCTTTCAGGGTCAGGGTAATGAGGTCCATCATTGTTACTGTTTTTGGCATATCAAGTACACCACAGGTAGCTTGCCAGGCTCTGCCGTGTGGGCAGGATACTCTCGGTAGCTTGTCGGGTTTTCTGAGAGGGATGAATGCTTTTGGGGGCAGCCTCTAATCACCTTTACACATGTTCCCAGTCAGGCATATATGTGAGCAGGAGACTCTTGGTAGCCTGCTGTGTTCTCTGAGTGCGAACTAGACAATGAGACGTCTATTTGTCTGTATTTGCGGCTCTGTGCTTCCTGGAGCTTGGTCCTATCATCTCTGGATCTTGGCTCTTGATGGGGTTACACGACAGTTGGTGGGTGTAACTGTCTAGTTACTGGAATAGGGGGATCTAGGTGGAGTAGGCCCAGTCCCGAACCGAGCAGGCGTGGAGTTCTCAGCCCTGGATCCCACACACCTGAGTTCCTCTGCGGGTTTCTTCATGCATGAGGCCCATCCTAGTGTGTGAAGAGTGGTCTCAGCATGGCTGTGGCTGGGTCCTGGAGGTATTCAGATGCCTGGGCTCTGCTCAGAGTGGAGGGGGAAACTCAATTCACCCCTCTCCAAGGGGCCTCGGAGAGGACAGCCAGGTGCAGGGGCAGGAAACTCTGCGTTGTTCTCTTCTAGATGATTGGTTTTATAGTCTCTGGATCTTGGCCGTTGATGGTTTTACATAGCATTTGGTGGCTGTAACTGTCTAGCTGCTGGAAGACGGGGGATCTGGGTATATGAGGCCCAGTCCCAAACCAAGCAGGCTTGGAGATCTCAGCCAGGCAATAGAAATAAAAAGAGAAAAAATGTAATTCACATGTTTATCAGAGCAGAAAAGAAAAATTAAACTATAACAGAAAATCAGAGAACTAGTGTCTCCTTTTCTCAATTTGACTTCATAGCACCATCCCACTAGTAGTGCTTTATGTGAGGAGTTTTTCTTCTTAGAACTGTTAATATTTTTCAAAGATAATTCACAGTTTGATGGGGCAGAGCATGGCATGTACGTTATGAGATTGGTTTCTATATCCATTCCCAGGAATATATTTTCCCAGCATGACTAGCAAAAGTTGTCCAGTCATTGCCACATGTTCCCTGAAGGCAAAGCACACCTCCGTGCTGTTGAACATCTCACTTTAGTACTGGTATTGTACTGCATGCCCATCTGCTCAACCTGTTTACTGCTACACTTTCAATGTATGGAAGAAAAATGAAGAAATAAGGATACATGAAAGCATTTAAGTTTGTTGGAGTGGCGACTTGGTCAGTTAATATTTTTCTTTTGATTTACAATCATAAGTATGTAGATTGCCAGAGAATGAACCTGGGTCATCTGCATGCACAGCAAGAACTTTACTTCCTATACTATTGTTTTGGCCTCAACATTTAGATTTTAAATTGTACTATTCAAGCCAATTAATACAGAAAAATTCTCTCTACACCTTTGGAGTGATAGCACAGCGGTAGGGCGTTTGCCTTGCATGCAACCAACATGGCTGACCCGAGTTCGATTCCTCCGCCCCTCTCCACGAGCCCGGCAAGCTACCGAGAGTATCTCGCCCGCACGGCAGAGCCTGACAAGCTCCCCGTGATGTATTCGATATGCCAAACACAGTAACAATAAGTCTCAAAATGGAGACGTTACTGGGCCCACTCGAGCAAATCGAGCAAATCGATTTACAATCATGTGGATACCACTCAAGCTTTGTAATATAGAAGAAAGTATTTAAATTTAAAATATAATTTGAAAACGTTGAAGCAGAGAAAATAATATATATGTTATGAGCTAGTAAAATATTAAAGGTAGTTTGATTTTTACTCATATCTTCCTTATGTCTCATGCTAAGAAAAATGGCACACTTTGCTTTAAATACAAATGGAGAGATACTACAATGGGTAGGGCATTTGCCTTGCATGTGGCTGACCTGGATTCAATCCTAATAACCCCGTATGGCCCCCTGAGCACTGCCAGGAATAATTCTTGAGTGTATCGCCAGGAGTAAGACCTGAGCACTATCAGGTGTGCCTCTCCAAAACCAAAACCAAACACAAATACACATTATTTTCATTTACTCTTGGTTTTTATTTTCTAAGTCACTTAATTTTTAGTTACTATTCTTTAATATTCCTAAAAATACTTAAAAATAATTCAGTTTTCAAGAAAAGGAACACAAACTAATCAAAAAACCTGTGAGCAAAAAAAAATTTTTTTTCCCTTTATTTTATTTTATTTTTTTTAAAGTTGTAGATTTACATTTTTTTGTGCTTTGGTTTCAATTATACAATGATCAGATACCCATCCCTCCACCAGTGCCCATTTTCCACCACCATGGGTAATATCCCTCCCACCCCCATCCCCCCATCCCCCCTGTCTCTGTGGCAGGGCAATCCCCTGTGTTCTCTCTCTCCTTTTGGGTGTTGTGGTCTGCAAAAGAGGCATTGAGTGGCAAACATGTTCAGTCCATAGTCTACTTTCGACATGCATCTCCCCTCCTGGGAGGATCCTCCAAACATCCTTTATTTGGTGCTCCCTTCTCTATCTGAACAGCCCTTTCCTCTAGGATACCCGGCTGTCCTCTAAGTTATGGAGTAATCCTCCTGGTGCTGATCTCAGCTATTCTTGGGTATTAATCTCATACTTTGTTACTTTATATCCCCCAGATGAATGCAATCTTTCTATGTCTATCCCTCTCTTTCTGACTCATTTCGCTTAGCATGATACTTTCCATATTGTACCACTTGTATGTAAATTTCATGACTTCATCTTTTCTAAGAGCTACATAGTACTCCATTGTGTAGATGTACCAAAGTTTCTTTAACCAGTTATCTGTTCTTGGGCATTCAGGTTTCTTCCAGTTTCTGGCTATTGTAAAGAGTGCTGCAATGAACAAACAAGTGCAGATGTCACTTCGACTATACATTGCAAAAAAAAAAAATTTTTTTTAAGGAAATTCATGCCCCTTATAGTAAAATCTCTGAAAGTAAATCAGAAGTTTGTTTGTTAGCAAATTAAGTTCAGTAAATAAAAAAGAAACCAGGGAAAAAATTATTAACATGCAAAAATCTTAGTTTTGTGAATAAGTTTTAAATATAAGCCAGAGAATATCTCAAAAAGCATGACTTTATTTCTTAAAAATTTTTTAAAATATTTTCTCTCATAGGTAGAAATCGTTACTGCATAGACAAAAATTATGCTGGCACTCTTATTATATGGGATAAAATATTTGGTAAGTAAAAATTAAGAGAATGAAAAATATATGCACTATTTCTTTTGCTTAAAAAATTCAAAAGTTCATGTTCTTAATGTTTATCTTTCAGGGACATTTGAGGCAGAAAATGAAAAAGTTATCTATGGCCTAACACATCCCATTAATACATTTGAACCATTCAAGGTTCAGGTAATGTACTTGGTTGTATTTTTTTTTTGGATTGATATACCCTCTCAAAAGTCCTATATTAAAACACAGTAGTATATTTCACAATGCGAAAAAATAATGATAGAAAAAAGAATTTAGAAATAATTCCAGCACTTGGACATTCAGTCCAATTAGGAGACAAACATTTCAATAAACTGATTATGGGATTTTTAAATATATTTACTATAAGAATACATTTTAAAAATAGTTACTTTTCAACATGAATCTGAAATATATTTATGCATTCAGAAAGAGCAGTAGGAAAATGGATAGTTTAGACTGATCTGACAGAAAATTTTTTGCTTCAAGACAGCATGACTCTGATTAGAAATTCAGCGTGGAGCCTTTGCCCTATTTTTCTTGGACATAAGTGTCAGGAGCTATTATTATTTGGTTAGGTCTGCACGTTAGCTCACTTGTTGCAAAGATCACCAGTATTCTGTTAGACATGTGGTATTGGTTGCTTACTACTTTCAATGGTTAGCACTAGAGAAATGAGGAATGTCTATGAAACTCCAATTCGTCAGCATCAGACCACAGCAAATACTCTTGGGGTTAAGGACTTGTTAAAAAAAAAGATAAGAATGTTTAAAACATTGAAAAAGTGAGTCAGCTAACACTCTGTCCTTACGTCTGGTTGTATAACATGCAGTAAGAAAGAGAATTATAGATCCTTCTTTGTTTGCTTTGATTTAAATTGGGGACCACATTCATCTGTGCTCAAAGATTACTGCTACCTTGGTGCTGGCAGTGTGGATGTTACTCCTGACAGTCTTTGGAGAACAGTACCCAGAGTACTGGGATTTGACTTAGAATCAGTTGTATGCCTTAATTCATCTCTTTGTGGCCCACATCTGCTTTATGAATCTGCTTCTTCAATTTCTTTAAGAGAATTAAAATATAAAAAACTTAATGATATTTGTTGAGCTTTTATTTTGATGAGTAAAATACTGTTAACAGTTGTGCACAAATATTTAATGTAACCATCATTAAAATGTATTAATGTAATGCTACTACTTATTCCTATATTTGAGCGGGTGAGGCTGAGATTCCGCAATATTTAGAAAATAGCTAAGATATAGCTCTGTGGTATAGTGCATGTCTTACATGTGTGAGGCCCTGGGCTTGATGGATGGCACCAAAGATAAAAATGTAAAGCAATAAATACACCCACCTATATTTTAAAAATTCACTCAATTACAACATACACCATGTCACATGTAAATAAAAGCAGCTCGGGTTGCAGACCATGCCTGATGTGCATTGTACACAATTTAATCTTAATCATACAAAAACTCTTTACACAAAAGTCTATCCTAAATTGTCTTCATTTTCAAGTGAGAGACATTTTAATACTGCAACTCAACAGAAAAAAAATGATTATTGCTCTTTTCTTTTAACTGGAAAGATTTTCTGTGTCCTTTCCTTTTTAGTAGTCATTGCTAAGAACACATCTCTCAAGAAAACTGAAAAACTTTTCAGGATAATTTCTTATTAAAAAGGTTTATAGCATCAAAACAAATTTAGAAACACTGCTTTTGTTTTTTGAAACCAGACCCACCATTATTTTTATTTTAGATTTTACTCCAACATTCAGATCTGCTGAAATGGCAACAGTAGACAACTTTTTTTGTATTGCTGGTTATGAATAACATACGATGTTGTGTGGCTGCAGTAGTGGCTGCGCGATTTTGAAATTCCGAAATTTTAACACTTAAATCCGGAGGGATTTCTGCCCAAACCTGCTGGATTCCGAAATTTGTTCCTGAGTCTCTGTGATCATGGCCGTTAAGCAGCTTGATCAGGAGCCAGAAAGGCCATTCATGGGCGATCACTTGGGGTCTTGTTGGGGTGGGGAGGACAGGACTGGCTCCACCCCCATCCTGTGAGGCCCTACGTGTCTCGTCACTGCAGGCCCAAACCTGACTGTCCAGTGGCCTCTGGAGGATGATAGCCACTGAGCTGCCAGGGGGAAGCAGGCTGAGGGACAACACCCATTTTCCCCTGGGGTGGCCCGGTGACAGTAACCTACTGCATGGTCTGGACGCATTTCTGCCAAAAGCCGCTGGGTTTTGAGATTTGTTTCTGAGTCTCTGGGATCATGGCCATTAAGCAGCTTGATCAGGAGCCAGAGAGGCCATTCGTGGGCAATGACTTGGAGTTTCGTTGGAGTGGGGAGGACAGGACCGGTTCCACCCCCATCTCGTGAGGCCCAACAAGTTTTGTCACTGTGGGCCCAAGCCTGACTGTCTAATGGCCTCTGGAGGATGGCGGCCATAGAGCCACCAATGGGGGAGCAGGCGGAGGGACAGCACCCTTTTTCCCCTGGGGTGGCCCAGCAACAGTAACCTACTGCGGGGTCCGGACACATTTCTGCCAAAAGCCATGCGGTTTTGAGGTTTGTTTCTAAGTCTCTGGGATCATGGCGTTAAGCAGCTTGATCAGGAGACAGAGAGGCAGTTTGTGGGCAATGACTTGGGGTCTCTCTTGTTGGGACGGAGAGGACAGGACCGGCTCCATCCCCATCCCATGAGGCCCAACAAGTTTCGTCACTGTGGACCCAAGCCTGACTGTCCAATGGCCTCTGTAGGATGATGGCCACTGAGCCGCCAATGGGGAGAAGGTGGAGGGACAACATCCTTTCCACCCTGGGGTGGCCCAGCGACAGTAACTTACTGTGGGGTCCGGACGCATTTCTGCCAAAAGCCATGGGGTTTCGAGATTTGTTTCTAGGTCTCTGGAATAGTGGACATTAAGCAGCTTGATCAGGAGCCAGAGGCCATTCATGGGCAATGAATTGGGGTCTTGTTGGGGTGGGGAGGACAGGACCGGCTCCACCCCCATCCCGTGAAGCCCTGCGTGTCTCGTCACTGCAGGCCCAAACCTGACTGTCCAGTGGCCTCTGGAGGATGGCGGTCACTGGACTGTCAGGGGGAACAGGCCAAGGGCAAGAAACCTATTCCCACTTGGGCTGGCCCAGCACTGGTATACTACAGGGACCAGACACATTTCTGCCAAAAGCCACTGGGTTTCAAGATTTGTTTCTTAGTCTCTTGGATCATGGCCATTAAGCCGTTCAATCAGGAACCAGAGAGGCCATGCCTCCAATTATATAGCTGAGCCGGAGGTGGTTTGTGGTATGTTTCCCACAGACCCAACTTTTGGCCGTTTACTTTCTTGGTAAACTTTGCCCCAAGTTTTTGGGGTCTGGCCAAAGGCACAGCAGCAAGTTTGGGGTATCTGGAAGTCTGAAGGTGCCATCATGCTGCTGATGCACTCACCTCACTGGTACAGACTGACCTGCTGGCGGCACCATACCCCCTAGAAATACTGCTTTAATAATTAGATCTTCACATAGGTAAAGTTAAAGGTAAAGGCCCTCCCGTTGATCGTCGATTTGCTCGAGCGGGCCCAGTAATGTCTCCATTGGCGACTTTGTTGTTACTGTGTTTGGCATATCGAATACTCTCGGTAGCTTGCCGGGCTCTCCGAGAGGGCCAGAGGAATCGAACTTGGGTTGGCCATGTTGGCCGCTTGTAAGGCGAACACCCTACCGCTGTGCTATAGTAGAAACATTCTCAGTAATGTTGAGATTAGAAATAAGTCACCCTGAAAAGAGTGTTTCAGTTCTATGTGCATGTGAATTGTGGGGGCAGCTCATCAACTTGTGGTTTGTAAGTTCAGTAGTTGTCATTTATGCTGTTGGCTCTTGGATAATACTTTAAATAGAATGAGCTCTCAATGCTCATAGTTCAGAAAGATTAAAGATGAGAAACTACACCAGGAGAGTTGAACAAACATTTGAACACTAAAGATTTGGAGAGACACTATTCAGACAAATACAGGTATTTGAGCAAGTGAATGCCTCAGGTTCATTTCTCCAGGCCTCTATGTTTACCTAAACATTTTTCCTTTTTTCCCCCATTCCTTTTCTTCCCTTCTTTTCCTACACGGTCACAGCTTTATGTAGCTGTATGTCTTATTATGTGCTTATTTATAGCATCATAAGTGCTGAGTCAGTAAACTGAGAAAATCTGGACATCTTTTAGCCTGCAAAAACATCAGTACATCTGATAAACTAGAAATAGCACACCACATTGGAAGTGATAAAAAGTAGAAGGCAACCAATCATGATTAAGAAAATATGAACGCACATGGCTTACCCATTAACAACATATTAGTAATTTCTTGTATAAGGCCTTAATGGCTCCATGGTGAGAAAAAAAATTCACACAGACTTCTAAGTAAATATTTTTTATCATTTTTAGCACATTATTACAAGCAATATAAAATAAGTTATTTGCAGCCTGCTCCTGCTATAGGGGCAGGCTTGAGGTGTGGTTAGGAAAATTGGAAATAACAGTGATGGGAAGACGCAATGGTGGTGAGGTTGGTATTGAAATATTGAATGTTATAAATCACAAACAACTTTATAAGAAATAATTAACTAGTTTTTAAAAATTAAAACATTTTTTAAAATCAGTATTTTATGTTTAGCTACATTTCTTCCATCTCTTTTGAAAAGATATGGTGCCTTCTGCTAGAAGAAGAAAGTTATCCCCCATTGCTATTAGATATAGGTAATCATTCACTTTTAGCTACAAAATTTAGGTGTTTTGGGGTATTAGAAAAATGAGTAAATGAGGAAGTTTTGTTTTAAAATATTGCCATGCATATCTCACAACTTATCTAAAATGAGAGCAATAAAAATGGTCTTTAATTTTTGGAGTGGGGAGGGGCTTCCCAAGCAGTGTCAGAGATGGGGTGCTGGAGAGGGACACGCCAACACAGGCTGGTGGTCCAGTGCATGGGCCCAAGTATGTGAGGCTACCCTGGCTGTGGTACCAGGGATACCTGCACTATCCCCACAATGTTGGGGGCCTCCAGGGTCATAACAAAGGTGCTGGGGCCATACAGAACTCCACTTACAAGGTGCTTTGGGGGAAACATGTGGCGGGAATTGAGACAAAGCTGCACACTGTCTCCAAATCTCTCATTCATTAAATTAAACAGGTGAATATATTAATGCCTGTTAAAATTCTAAAAAGAATTAGTTTGGGGTAGGATCATTACTATTGTTGAAGTTTTTGTTATAGAGCCCCAGGGTATTTCCTTCTGATATGCCATCCCTAAATTAGTTTTCACAAACCCTGCCTTGTTCTTAATTGCTTCAGTTTTCTATTTACAATATTTTCTTTTTTTTTTTTCTTTTTTTTTTTTTTTTTATTGAATCACTGTGGGAAAAGTTACAGAGCTTTCGGGTTTAGGTCTCAGTCATGTAGATACCGAACACATTTCCCTTTACCAAAACTCATTTTTAACCCCGAACCCCAATAGACCCCCACCTCCCACCCCTCCCAATTCTTATGAGGCAGATGAGTTCTAGTTAATACTCTATCTACTTTGACTAGATAGATTATTTCGATAGAAGATGCACAATTATTGTTTAGAGTTTACGACCCACCCGCCCCCCAATCAGACATGCTGAAACAGCGTTGTGAAATGATTTGCTTTCTACAACTTGGTTTAAGAATAAAATGATGTCGCGCGGCCGCAATAGCGGCCGCGCGGTTTTGAGTTTCTGCTATTTTACTTATTGACCCTGGAAGAATTTCTATTAAAAGTTAGCTAGTTAAGAGATTGTTTTCTGTGCCCTGGAGTCGTGGCCGTGCCGGAGAGCCGCTCGTGGGGGGCAGCTGGCGACCTCGGTGGGGCGTGGGGGACGGCCCACAAAGCCCCCCTTCCCATGAGGTCCCCGCCGCTTCCCCGAGCCCGGCTCAAACCCGCTTTCCACAAGGCTCCCGTGCGGCCGCCATCTTTCTTTCCAGAGAGGAGCGGGCGGGCTGGTCAACGCCCTTCCCCCTCCGGGCAGCTTGGTGGCGCGGATCAACACAAGTCCATTTGCTTTTCTGCTCCAAGCGGCTGGTTCTCTGTGCTAAGTCCTTGTGCCTCCGGGGCCGTGGCCGTGCCGGAGAGCCGCTCGTGGGGGGCAGCTGGCGACCTCGGTGGGGCGTGGGGGACGGCCCACAAAGCCCCCCTTCCCATGAGGTCCCCGCCGCTTCCCCGAGCCCGGCTCAAACCCGCTTTCCACAAGGCTCCCGTGTGGCCGCCATCTTTCTTTCCAGAGAGGAGCGGGCGGGCTGGTCAACGCCCTTCCCCCTCCGGGCAGCTTGGTGGCGCGGATCAACACAAGTCCATTTGCTTTTCTGCTCCAAGCGGCTGGTTCTCTGTGCTAAGAATTTTCAAGAATTTTTTAAAGACATTCTTAATGATACAGTTTGAATCCTTTAAGAGGCAGTTAAGGTCACACATTTAGATAGAGAAAAAAAGTTTTTCAACACTGATTTGATAGCACTTGTAGTTATTATCACCATAGGGTGTATAGCTGATGCCCAAACTCTTAGACTCTTTTTTAATACCATGATCACTACTATCATCTGTATGGTATATTTAATTAATATTTATAAAAGTTTATACTGTATAAGAATTTAATGTTTGTGAATATCCTAAGAGCTTTTATTCATCTTAAATATTATTTGTTAAATGTTGATTTCTGCTGTAAGCCTCAAGGAAAACTTGAATTAGTCAGCAAACTTCATCTTACCTTAGTACAGAATGTCAAATTAAAATTTGTATTGTATTGTATGACTAAAACTTAATCATGATAACTTTGTAACTGTGTATCTCACTATGATGCAATTAAAACATAAAAGTAATAATTAATATGTCTAGTATGGTAAATGGTTTCGAATATTTAATATGATGTTTTCTCTGTTATGCAGTACAGTATGTGAAGATTTATCCTTAAAATATTAGGCAGATATGCTATTTTTGTGTGCTTCTATGTTCATTCTGGAATTCATTTAGCAATATTTTAGAATACAGAGTACATAGGCTGCTCGTAATTCCCATTAGAAACAAATCTCCTAACTCACTTTTTATACTTCTCCAATTATCTATATTACATCTAACTATTTAATTTCACAACTATTGACAGGTTTTGAAACATTTTAAAAATATTGATGAGTATATTTAAACTTAAAATTTATGCATAAAATATAATAACTAATATTGAATATTAAATTAGGTCATAAATAACACATTAGACATGTTACAGATTATGTGAATAATACAAAAAGTAAATCATCACATTATTTTCTGCATTTAATGTCTTTTTATGTCTTTCTTATTTTTAAAAATCAATATTTTAATTCTTCTAGTTCCACCATTTAATCTACATATGGAATACATTCTGGGCTACTCCTGGATTCTTCAATAAGTTTTCTGTCATATTTAAAGGACCAGGATGGGGTCCAGGTAAACCAAGACTTGGACTAAATGAAGAAATACCAGAGGTAAATAGAGTTTATGAACTTGGTGATGGTGAAGATAAGCCTCATATAGTGAATTTATGTATATATTCTGTCTTCATACAAATCTGAATTAAATTTTTCCTGAAGCAGATACAGCTCTGTTCGAATAGTACTATAAATATATACTACCTAAACAACAATAGGGTCACTCTTTTCTACTGGGCAGATTCTGTCGCTTAAAAGGGAGCATAATTTAGTGGTGGGAAGGGGGCATAAAGCTAGAGGCTAATTTTCACATTCATTCAACTCACAGCCTAGAGTATCATGTTAGTACCATAGCCTCACATATACATGTGGCTTAGTTCCAGAATCCTGAAAAATTTGAGATGGAGGGAGATCTAGAGATTCCCCACTTGTTTAGTTCATCAGAGACTGAGGTTTTTAGAATGTAAGATCTAAAGTCACACCAAGAAGACATGATTACTACATTGATTATAACTTTATCCATTCTATAATTGAGTAGAAGCATTAAATACAGAAGTTTCACTAAAAAGCAAATTATATACAGGATATATTTAAAACACTGGAAACAAAATGGAAAAATCTCAGTACTTTAAAATAAAATGTTTTATTTCTGATCAAAATAACTATCACTAATAACTAGATTAGAGTAGAACAAGCTATCAGTTTTAAAGATAGTAGTTGGATTTAATTTATTCTCTATTTCAAATAATTTTTTAAAACAAAATTATTTTTATAGAACACTTGATCTAGAGAAGGATATTTTATGAAAGGTTATATTATTAAAGCTGTTGTGTTAAAATTCTGATAGTTTTGGTAATATTCATAATCATTTATGTGAAAATGAATAAAGTACAGATTGATGGAAAAATTTGCTTATTTCAACTCAACAAATTTAGTTAGCTTTGGTCAATATTATCTACTTATTAATATTATATGTTTTAATAATCAAAGTGAAAAACAAATGGCTATAGACAGCAGAGCCTAAGAACTGGTCTGCAGAACTGTGCTTACCTTGGTAGAGGATGTTGGGAAAAAGGTTTCCGGAGTGGGACACTCATGTGGGAGTTGTGGTGGTGGAACACTGTGTGCATGAAACTCTGTCATTAACAGTATTGTAAATCATGATGCATAGTTTGTAAGTCTCAAAATAAATAAGAATAAATAAAAATGACATTGGCGCTTAAATCTGCATCATAAAATAGAATTACGTTTATTCTGGTAAACTGATTTAGGAAAGTTATTTCAATAAAGTAGTATTTCCCTTTTAGATATTTTTTTATTTACACTTCCCACAGGTCATGTCCTGTTTGTCTTTTGCTATGCTTTCTTTTATAATCTTGCAAATAATTTCATGAACTTTTTGGTGAGGTACATGCTTATCACTCGTACCTATGGCTGAATGAATTCTTACAGTGTCCTATGTCATAGAGACTAAATTAGAACCGTGATTCTTCTGAAATGAGAAGTGAATCTTCTGACTTTATTTTTCTAGATTGTTGTCTTTGATTTTGTGAAGTAAAATTGTTGTATTTAGAAAATATGAGAGAAAACAAGAAAGTCCCACAAAGAAAGAATATGCATGCCGATAGTTGGGTTGCAGATGATTCTAGAATGAACTGGATTGACTTCCATATTTTTTTTTATCTAAGCAGGTTGGGATGATTTTGGGGGTTTCTGTTTTGGTAGACCACATATATCTGTGCTCAGAACAATCACCTCTCCTGAGCAGAGGTGCTCAGGTACCTCTGCAGGGGCTTGGTGGACCAGATGGCATTCTGGGAGCTGAATCCAGATTGGCCACATGCAAGACAAAAACCTCCCCCATTGTACTAATTTTTCAGGCTAATCATTTTTGGAGAAAATAAGAATAGGAAAATTTTATCTTTTTAAATTTCCTTTCTTTCTTTGCTTTTTTGTTTTATTTTATTTTATTTTTTTGTATTGTTTCTGGGCCACATGTTTCAGGGCTCTGCTCTATGCATAGATGTCAATGTTGTTGTTTTTTTTTTCCCTTCCTTTTCTTTCCTCTTTTTTTTTTCTTTTTCTTTTCTCTTTTTTGCCTGTAATACACATCTAGTGTGAACTTCAGTGAAATTAATCCATCAATAATAATTACTTTTTTAAATTTTTGTGTGTTTTTATTTTGGGGCATTGCTCAGGGATTAAACCTGGCTCTGGGCTCAGAAATCATTCCTGGCAGGTTCAGAGGACCATATGGAGTGCAGGCGATCAAACACATGTCAGCGCCCTACACAGTGAACTATGTCTAGGGACCTTGTATCAAGAAGAAATTAAAGACAACATCTCTGTCTTATCTCCCTAGGTAACAGGGAAAGAAGTTCCCTTCTCATCTCCAGCATCTCAGCTACTAAAGATATATGCAGTTGTGCAGTTTGCTGTGATGCTTACATTTTATGAAGACACCTTTGCAGACACTGTAAGTTATGTTGATTTAATAGTGTGAAACTTTTCATTTCTTTTTGAAAATGAAAATAAGCTTTTCTGCAAATGTCTAAGTAAAACCTATCACTGTCACTGTCACTATCCTCCTGTTGTTCATTGATTTGCTCAAGCAGGCCCAGTAACATTGTGAGACTTGTTACTGTGTTTTGCGTATCAAATATGTCACAGGTAGCTTGCCAGACTTTGCCGAGCGGGTGAGATACTCTCGGTAGCTTGCCGGGCTCTCCAAGAGGGGTGGAAGAATTGAACTCCAGTCGGCCGTGTTGGCTGTGTGCAAGGCGGACGCCCTATCCGCTGGGGTATTGCTCCAGCCCATATTTAACCTTAATTTGTGCAGATTATAAAAGGAAAATTACATATGGAGTGATCATGTTTGATTAATCATCAATATGCTATTTTAAATGATAAATATAAATGTATCATGAACATTTTCTTTAATAATTAGAATCAAGGTCAGGGAGACAATACACAGGATTGGAGCTCATGTCTTGCCAGCATGAGCTGACATCATTCCACATCACAATTTGACCCCACCCCAGTGTCCTTTAATGGGGCCTGGGTTTCCCACTCTCTATCATAAAATGTTAACCTGATCAAAGCAACACCTCTGAGCACCCAAAAGCCAGCCCTGTGTTGATAGATTAGTGGTTGTCATTAAAGGCTCTGGGCCCAGAAAACTGTTAAGCCCCTCCTCCCCAAATTAGAAGTACTAAAGATGTCATAATTGGTTGGGAAACATAGCACTATAACACTGTCCTCCCATTGTTAATCAATTTGCTCGAGCAGGCCCAGTAATGTCTCCATTGTGAGAATTGTTACTGTGTTTTGCATACTGAACGCATCACGGTAGGTTGCCAGGCTTTGCTGTGCAGGTGAGATATTCTTGGTAGCTTGCTGGGCACTCCGAGAGAGGTGGAGGAATCACCCGGGACGACCAGGTTGGTCACATGCAAGGCTGTGTTATCACTCCAGCCCTGGGAAAGCATACTTTATATAAATTTCATCATGCTTTCCTCCTACTAGAAAATATCTGATTCCTTAATTTTAGGGAATATTCAATGCACCACCTACTTTATTTATGTTGACATCTCTAACTTTTCAGAAGTGTCTGACACAATCATAGAAGTATTAGATCGAGGTTTAGAATCTGGATCTTAATCCAACCATTACCATGTGGTGAGTCACTTTTGGAGTGGAGTAAGAATACCTAGAGATATAAAGAGTAGCTTAGTACATGAACTATTTTGCGTAAATGAGGCAATGGGTCCAATCTCTGATTCCCTCCATCTCTACCCTTTAAAATCATCATTTAATGCATTTTGTACAGCCAAAATAACATATGGTATTACCAAATATGTTACTATTAAATAAATGTGTGATAAACTGTACAAAGATATAAGAAAGAGAGGTGTTATTAATTATCACTGTATCACTGTCATCCCGTTGTTCATTGATTTGCTCAAGCAGGTGCCAGTAATGTCTCCATTTGTCCCAGCCCTGAGATTTTAGCAGTCTTTTCTTACTCATCCTTCCCAACGGGGCTGTATTGGAGGCTTTTTCAGGGTCAGGGAAATGACTCTCGTTATTCTTACTGTTTTTGGCATATCGAGTACCCACAGGAAGCTTGCTAGGCTTTGCCAAGTGGAAGGGATACTCTCGGTAGCTTGTCAGGCTTTCTGAGAGGAACAGAGAATATATATTGCTGTTAATTATATATTTTATTTTTCAGATTTATTCCTAGTATATTTATTTTGCCAAAAGGGATTTATGATAGTAAAAAATATCTATAAATTTAGGGCCATAGTGCATAAGTTGCTTGCCTTCCATGCAGCCAACCTGATTTAAAGGAATCCTTGCAGCACCCCATATAGTTCCCTGAGTTCCGCCAGTAGTAATCTGTGAGTGCAGAGCCAGTGGTAAGCCCTGAGCACAGCCAGGTGTGGGACCCAAATGCAGTCACGGCCCTCCCGTTGTTCATCAATTTGCTCAAGCGGGCCCAGTAATGTCTCCTTCTTGAGACTTGTTGTTACTGTGTTTGGCATATCGAATACATCACAGGTAGCTTGCCAGGCTCTCTGAGAGGGGCGGAGGAATCAAACTTGGGTTGGCCATATTGGTTGCGTGCAAGGCAAATGTACTACCACTGTGCTGTCGCTCCTAAACAAACAAACAAAATATCCCAAATTCATAAATTATATTATGAATTATATTAAGGAAAGTCAGTAAAACTGAAAATTAGATCACCTAAAATAACAATGTCTTTATCTTTATTTTCAAGAAAAGATGTTCCCTTTAAAATAACCTCACTGAATAACAGTGAGGGCTCTCACAGCATTTCTGTATAAATAATGGTCATGTTAAGGAAACAAGAGGGGATTTCTGCTTTTAGTAAAACAGCTGTTTAGATAGATGTACTTTTATCATTGCATAGAAGAGCTTGACTTTCTGAATAAAATAGACTAAAGATCACTCTTTAGATGCATTGCACAAAAAGAACTGTGGAAAAATTGAATACTTTTTGCAGGCAAAAGCTTTGAGAAGGTGTTAATTTTATGAAGAAATTAATATAAATCAATACACCTCTTCCAGGATATCACATAGTTCCTATTGTCAATACCTGCAACTTCAAAACCTGCATAGATTAGGTATTAGACTAAGAACTTTGAATTAAAAAATTAAATCTGAAGTGCACAATTGGAAATATTCTGTAAAAGAGGAGGAAATTAAGAAAGAAAATCTGAAAAAGGAAACTCGCCTATTAGTTGACTATCAGCAGACCAGAAAAAATTTTTTTTCTTTTTTTTTTTTCTTTTTTTATTAGTGAAAAACCATGAGGTACAGTTATAGGCTTACAAATTTTGTGCTTGGGTTTCAGTTATACAATGATCAAGTGCCCATCCCTCCACCAGTGCCCGTCATCCATCCCTATGGGTCCCAGCATCTCCCCCCCCATCCCCCCCCCCCCGTCCCATCCTGCCTCTGTGGCAGGGTATTCCCCCTTGTTCTCTCTCTCTTCTTTTGGGTACTGTGTTTTGCAAGAGAGGCTTTGAGTGGCAATCATGTTTGGTCTATCGACTACTTTTAGCATGCTTCTCCCACCCTGAGAGGACCCTCACAACACCCTTCATTTGGTACTCTCTTCTCTATCTGAGCTTCCTTTTCACCTAGAGCCTGTGGCTGGCCTTTCATTCATGGAGCAAAATTCCTGGTACTAATCTCAGCCATTCCTGGGTGTTATTCTCCTTTTTGTTGCTTTATGTTCCCCAGATGAATGCAATCTTTCTGTGTCTATCCCGCTCTTTCTGACTCATTTCGCTTAACATGATACTTTCCATGTAGTACCACTTGTATGTAAATTTCATAACTTCATCTTTTCTAACAGCTACATAGTACTCCATTGTGTAAATGTACCAAAGTTTCTTTAACCAGTCATCTGTTCTTGGGCACTCAGGTTTTTTCCAGATTCTGGCTATTGTAAAGAGTGCTGCAATGAACAAACAATTGCAGATGTCACTTCGACTATACCTTTTTGCCTCTTTGGGATATATTCCCAGGAGTGCTATAGCTGGGTCAAATGGCAGATCAAATTCTAATTTTTTGAGAGTCGTCCATACTGTTTTCCAAAAGGGTTGGACCAGCCGGCATTCCCACCAGCAGTGAAGGAGGGTCCCTTTCTCGCCACATCCGCGCCAGCACCGGTTGCTTTTGTTCTTGTGGATGTGGGCCAGTCTCTGTGGTGTGAAATGATATCTCATTGTGGTTTTGATCTGCATCTCTCTGATGATTAGTGATGTAGAGCATTTTCTCATGTGCCTTTTTGCCATTCGAATTTCTTCTTTGCGAAAGTTTCTGTTCATTTCCTCACCCCATTTTTTGATGGGGTTGGGTGATTTCTTCTTGTGGAGTTTAACCAGTACCTTGTATATCCTTGATATCAACCCCTTGTCGGATGTGTACTTGGTGAATATCCTTTCCCATTCTGTAGATTGTCTTTGTATTTTGGTCACTGTTTCTTTTGAGGTGCAGAAGCTTCTTAGTTTAAGATAGTCCCATTTGTCTATCTCTGTTTTCACTTGCTCAGCCAGTGGCGTGACATCTTTGAAGATACCATTAGCTTCAATATCGTGGAGAGTTTTGCCGACTTTGTCTTCAATAAACATTATGGATTCTGGTCTGATGTTGAGGTCTTAAATCCATTTTGATCTTACTTTTGTGCATGGTGTTAGGCAGAGATCTGAGCCCACTTTTTTGCATGTAGCCGTCCAATTTTGCCAGCACAGTTTGTTGAAGAGGCTTTCCCTGCTCCATTTCACTTTTCTTGCCCCCTTATCAAAAATTAGATGATTATATGTTTGGGAGGAAATGTCAGTATATTCAACTCTGTTCCATTGAGACCAGAAAAATTTTTACCTGAGAATTAATAATTCAAACCATTATTCAATCAGATATAGGTCCAGGGTTTAAGCTAGCTTTTGATTTCTGAATCTAAACTAAAAATACTTTTAAATTCACCTCAGATTTAATATTACATAATTAAAAGACACATGTTTAAATCGTACATAGTGTAATTCCCATAAATGCAAATCTCAGAGTATTACTACAGATAAATTCCTGATTATTATGATTAAGAGATTTAAAAAGTACAGAAAAATACAAGGAAAAGTTCCATGTCAATAGCTCAACAGATATATCAGAATAGAAGCCTCAAAAATATGTTGTAGAGATAAATTCAATTAGAATATAAATTATATACATTTAAATTATTTCAAGAAATATAGATGAAATGAGAATTCATGTAAAAAACAGACTAAAATTAATTAAATTCATTTAAAATTTATCAAGTAAATCTCTTGAATAAAAAATTATAACAGACAATCAATTGATCTGAAGGGCATTAAAAAATCAATTTAAGTACCAGAGTTTAAAAAAATACTATTGATATGAGTCACAGCATTATTTAATACCAACAAAGAG